TCCAAGGTGCGGCTGAGATGGATGGTACCACTATTCAGCCAAGGAAAGCCCGAAGGCGTGTTCTACACACGCCGACCGACAGCCTGGCTCTACCGCCTCCCTGCGGCTCAGCCACCGGGGCACAGAGCCCCCCAGCGTCTAGGTCTCACAGCCCCTTTAGACCGAAGAGTTGCTGAGTCCCCTGTTTACATGGGTTATGTCTATTGGTATTTACCTTAGGAGTCAAAACTGAGGTATGTTTAAAAGAGTCATTAACTCACTTCAAAATAATAATAAATGACGGTGCTAGAAACTTCTGCGAATTTCCCACCAGGTCCTCTGGCTACTTTGCTATAAGAACTTAATGGCTTTGGGAGGGGCTCAGGGTGCTTTTTGGATGAACTGCTTTGTTGGTCTGGGCCACAAATGAACGGGTCAGAACCTTCCCTCGTGGTACCTACGTACAACTAGATTAGTGGCTTCCTCTCGTTGGAATGTCTCCCTGTGAACTGGCGAGTGATGGCGATGCGGACAGTGGGGGCCACCAGCTCCAGAGAACATTTCATGCTCCCGGCACTGGGATCAGCACTTTACACATATTATCTCATTCAATCTTGAGGCAAAACTGAGATTTAACGAGGTTATGTAAGTTACCCAAAGTCATACAGCCAACAGATGGCAAAGCCAGGACTCAAACACTCGCTGGGATCCAAATCCAGCCTTTAAATCCAGCCCTGACAGCACTCCTCCAGGAAGGCTGTGCGAGCCTTCTGTCTCTCCCCGATCCCTGGCCCGTAGACAGCCGGGCCTCAGTGCTCGGGGCTCCCAGGAGCTTATCACACCGTTTTATGTGAAAGCTGAAGTCACGGTCTCTCCTATTGGACCGTGGGCGGCTCCACAAGACAGGAACCAGGCCCTCCACTGAGGCGTTTTCAGGGATAACATGCCAGGCCCGTGGGAGATGCCTGCGGATCGCATGTGTGAAGGAGTGTGTGCTGTTTGTAAATGCGGCACTGTCTGGGTTTGGATGAGTGGCCCTCTCTTTCAGATGCTTTCCTTCTCCCTCTCTGCTCTCCTTCTCACAGCCAGACCTCACTGTCTCACAGGGCTGCTCGGTGTGGCGGTCATCACCCCCTGGACTAAAACTGACAGTGGACGTAAACTGCACCTCACTCAGGGATCCCCCCCTCCCACATCTCGAGTAGAACTAACCTATTTGGGTATGGAGCGTGAGTGCTATGAGAACTAATCCTTCCTTCCTGGTCAATCCCTTTTTATACACACGTCACAGGGCGGAGACCCTTCATGTTCTGGGCCAGGGATGGATATCGGAGTATTCAGATATTTTACTAATAATAGTAGGGGACTAGCAATAATGGTAAAAGTATTTAACAGTTAACATCTATATTCCTGGCAATGGCGCAGGAAATAAAATTCTTCCACTGGATTAGAATTTGGAGGAAAACAAGGGCTAAACATCATTTTGAATCAGAATGAATGTATCTGATTAAAAAATATCATCCAAATATAATCAAAATAGCTTGTGTCTTACCGTTTCATAGGACTGAAATGGTACATGTCAAAATACTGTAGATACTGGGTTCTGACTTATGTACGTTAACACCGAGAAGTGCTCATCTAACCTACATCTTTTTAAAGCGACCCTTTTCTTTCTCACCAAAGCCAAAGTGCTCCTACAGCGTGCATGGGGTGACGCTTGGAAAAGGAATTGGAGGGAGGGTATCGGACACATTTCTAAACGGAACCTATGGCTGGAGAAATAAGCTTCCGAGTCATCCGGTCCGACAGGTAGGCCAGGGGAGGGGCGGCTGCTGTGGCTCTTGTTTACCACACTGGCTGGAGACGTGCTTGTCGCCGTGGCAACCCTGAGGGTGAGCAGCTGCTGTGCTCCAGCGCGTCCCTGGTCACAGGACACAGTGGCTCTGCCACCGGGCCCTGGGAGCTGCTGCAGGCGGAGGGAGCGTGCCCCCAGACCTGGCCCAGGTTCTGTGACCTAATTTAATGGCCTGAATGGTCCAGGCGCCGTAAGAGGCCATGCGGCTGATGAGATCTGTGCTTCCCCAAGCCCACTGCCTTTTCTCTCCTCACCCAGCCGCCACAGTGGAAGCGTTATCTCGGACACCTGACACGAAGGCAGGCAGGGGCCACTTAAGAACGGCCCTGAGCCCTGCACCCAGGGCTCTGTCTGGGCTTCCCTTGGACCGCCATGTGCTGGGGCAGGAGGGAGGGGGGCGAGGCAAGGGCCCAGGGGCTGTGGGGCCGAGGCATTGCCCTGCGGACCAAGAGGCCCAGGAACCGAAGCTGCGTGTCAAGCTCCGGCCCCTCCCGAGGACTTCTGACCCGACTCCCGTCATATGCCGGAGCCTGTTGAGAAACCCTGTCACAAGCAGGACACTGCGAACAGTCAGCTCAAATTGCCCTTGCGGCTGAGCCTTCACCAAAATCCCTTTTCCGGAGCACGAGACCTGCGGCTCCTTTCACGCAGACCTCCAGTGTGGCAATCGCACACGGCCTGCACGTCACCTCTCCAAGTTCATCTTTCAGAGGATCTCACAGCCAACAATTCTGTTCCGCCGGAGGCACGCTGCATTAGGCGGCTTGGTTCTGTTTGAGAACCTGGCGTTTCCACAAGCAGGGCACTGAACACAGAGCATGCTCTGTCCCGCTGTCCTCTGGCTGGGCCTGGTGGCACTGAGTGAGTGGCTATGGTCTAAAGGACAGCCACCTTCCCTCTCCCCTCCCATCTTCACAGCACGCAGAAGCTAAGCTTGTCCCAGGGCAGCGGTTCTCAACCTGTGGGTTGCGACCCTTTGGGGGTCGAACGACCCTTTCACATGGGTCGCCTAAGACCATCCTGCATATCAGATATTCACATTACGATTCATAACAGTAGCAACATTACAGTTATGAAGTAGCAACGAAAACAATTTTATGGTTGGGGGTCACAACATGAGGAACTGTATTTAAAGGGCCAGAAGGTTGAGAACCACTGCCCTAGAGGCATCCCTGCCCGCCCAGTGACAGGCGAGCAGCAGGGTCTAAAAACAAGGGACAATGGTCACGTGATGCATAGAAAAAAAATCCTCCACCAGAGAGACCTCAGTAGATGCATCGCACATGTGTGCTCAGGATTCTGGCTGCTCTTTGCTTCCCGGCCCCAGAATGAACTCCGGGGCCTTGTGCGCATGAACATGGGACCGTGATGGAGCACCAGCCCCTCTCTCTGCCTGCCATTCACATTCTCTGTGTTCCTTTTCCCTCGGTCCCGATGTCATTCAAGGTTATCTGTCAACAGAGTTTACTCAGCTTCCAGTTCCTGGAGGCTGACCCCCCCACCCCAATCTATTAAAATAAGCAGGAAAAGAGGAGCGATTCACCTCTAAAGACCCCGACTGCCGAGCGGCAATCTGCGTGACTAAGCATTCTGCCAAAGAGCTGTGCTTAACGTTTTTCATTTTTAGCAGGAAGAGAATTTCTGTTTCTCAAGTCAGGGCTTGGGAGCAAGTTAGTCCCATACTGCAGACTGCTGGTGGCTGGTGACCCCCGACCCTGCCACCTGTGCACGGAGAACCAGGGCGTCCTGGGGCTGAAGGAGGTGGCGGCTGAGTAGCTAGTGATGGTTCTTAGTTTTTGAAGGGGGAGGAGAGATAGAGTCCACACTCACTTCAACCCTCAAATTAGGTGTATTCTCTCGGTACCTTTGTAAGAACATGAAACATTTTGGTCTGTCTCCACCGCCCATCTTTGCTGGGGGTAGTCCTGTCTGAGCAGGCGGCAGGGGTGTGGCCTACTGGAGCTGCCTGTCACCGCCCTCCCACCCACATTTCTAATCCCAAGGTTGCCACCCCCCTCTCTGTAGCATGCCCACTAATGTGACGGGGACATGGGGCTGGAGCGGCTCTAGGGACAGCTGCCTGGTCCTCCCCCAACCCCACTGGCCAGGAGGCCTCCAGCTGTGGGCCCCTCCGACAAGTAGCTTGGTCACCAATCTAGTAGCGACTGTTCCTTTTCACGGAATGGAAGAGAACAG